AGGGTTGAAGTTCACATCTTTAAGATCATTGTTGAAAAAGAATTGGCTCAAGGAGATACAAATTGACCAGGTAATGATCTTTTGAAGTCACATAAGGGAGTTTGATGGCCTATCTAGAGGACTTGTAATCTTTATCAATCATTAGGCATCTTCCACATAAAATTTTCTCAAAACTTTTGAAGTGATTCGTTGATAACCCTTTAAAGAGGAGCATGCCTTTGGAATCACTCAAAATTACCAAAAGACGAGCAAGATGTAGCCCTTAGAAGTTCAAAATCCTAGCTCCTAGAACAACAAAACGCCTTGGAAACCCTTTTTAGTTTTGACAAACTTTATTGCACAAATACTTTTTTCATGTAAACAAAAGTTGTTGAGGATGATAATGAGAAACTATGGCAACCATAGCAACTTCCAAATATCAATAATTGAGGGAAATATGCACTTGTGATCAAGAAATCAAGGACTTATCCAATTAGGTCAAACTTCTTCAATCAACCCTTACATCTTTGAAATATCTTTGAGAACTTGAGGCATGACGAATCATAATAGACTTTGTCATGATATTACTTCAAAGAATCTTCAATGATTAAGCTTGAATCTCAATGAAGCTTTGTTGGTGAAGGCATGGAAATAAACTCATGAACATGTAGATTAAGTTGATGGAGTGTGTTGTGATTTCACCTATAATATCATAAATTAGGGAAAACATTCATTGTATTTATTATTTAATAGTTAATAAATACAAAACATAGATGATCACAATATACAAGTCAAGGTGCTTGGTGATCCCCATGAGCAAAGCTAAGGAGAAGAACCAAAACCTAGTGTGATCTTGTTGTGATTGAGTTGATATGAGATGATAAAGGGATTTTAGAGGCAAAAATTGGGGTACAACAGATTGTTTGAAATCGTTTTAAGGAAGTTGCTTAAGCGACAAATATGTTGCATCTATCGGTTGATTTGATCTTACTTAAGATCAAAGGTTGGAAGAAGGAACATCAACACCAAATTGGAGAATTTTGTATTGTTGTTTCTAACTCTTCCTATTGTATTAAACATTTTGCATAAAGAATTATCCTAGTTGCATTGGAATTAGGCGTAGACGTACCCACACACGAGGACGACAGTGGGGAACTGTGTAGACAAATTCCTTGTGTGTTTTTACTTTTCCGCTTTTACTTGCTTTTAATTTCATCAATCGTTTTAACAAATAGCATTGTTCTAGTAATTGAATTGTAAGATTTTTTCTCTCAAAATCAGTTTTTGAATTAGGTTTAGATATAATTTATAATCACTTTTGATTATAAGTGGTTTTGTGTATCAACACCACTCAAGGAAAAATTCTGTAAATCCACTTGCACGTCAAGTGTTTGATAAAACGATCAAGTTAGCTCTTTCATTATTTTATCCTTGGAAATAACATTGTAAAGTGATTGTGTTCAAACAATAAACAAATGGATTGTTGAATTGAGTTTGTGTTAATCAATTATTGAATTTTTTCTCATAGATTTATCATTAACAATTTGTATATCCATGTTTCCAATAAGTTAATTTTAGACGACTTATCCAGTGAATTGCTTCTGCATCAAAAAATTTTGAAAACAAATTTAAATTCTAGATTTGTGTATAGAATAATTGTTATGCCTCTATTCACTCCCTTTAGATATGCGTCATCGTCTAACAAAGAGCTGAGTGTTTCACTTATCTCAAGAAGCAAAAGAAAGGACTGTATATGTCATGGTCAGAGGGAGATCCTGAAAGTGATCATAAAGAAGAATCTGCCAAGCTAGTAACTGCTTTGATTGGAATTTTTTACTTTGGTGACGAATCAGATGGTGGGGAAATTACTTTTGAGGAACTTGTTTCCTCTTACAAGGAGTTATGCCTAAAAAGTGAAGAAGCATGTCGAATGGGAGAAGAATAAAAGAGAGTTATTGCTCAACTATAGGCTGCGAAAGAAGAGCATTTATTTATCATTTGTGATCTAAAGGAGGAGGTTGTATTACTAAAATCAAAACTTAACAATATGACTAAATCTGTAAGAGTGTTAGATAATGGGTCTACGGTTCTTGGTGAGATTCTTAATACTGGGAAGAATACTGGAAATATTGAAGGTCTTGGTAATGGAAATCAAGTTGTAAAGAACAAAAGAGAAAGGCTTAAAGTGAAGATTGTACCTCTAAAAAAGAAACAAGAGTAGAAGATGTTGAATCAAATATCTCAACATCAGTAGAGACTTCAAAAGAATAATAATGGAGGCATGAATCAGTAGCGGTGATGTCATTATTGTGGAACATTTGGTAATTCAAAACCCTTTTACTACAGGTTGTATGGATATCCCTAACCTATTACACATCACAAAAGAAAACAAGATGATGCTAGAGCAAAGTCGAGAAGGATTCCAAAAAAATGTCACTTGTGGACTCATAGTTCACTCCTCTCTCAGAGGATCTATGAGAGGAGATTGGTATTTTGATAGTAGTTGTTCTAGACACATGACCGATGTTAAGAAATATTTAATGAAAATATTCAATCACATCCCACTAATTATGTAACTTTTGGAGATGGAGCAAAAGGAGAAATAAATAGTGTTGGACAGGTGAAATATACATGATATCCTATTCTTTTTGATGTTCTATTTGTTAAAGGGCTAACTTCCAATTTGATAAGTATTAGTCAACTATGTGACCAAGGTGTCAAAGTTAACTTTACTAAATCTAAATGTATAGTAACGAATAAGAAGAAAGAAGTTATCAAGAAGGGATCTAGATCAAAAGGTAATTGTTACTTGTGTATTCCCCAAGAAACAAATTACACTCCACATGCTTGAGGCCAAAATAAGTTGAAGTGAAGTTATTGCAGCATGAATTTGGCCACTTACACTTGAAAGGCACGAAGAAAGTCTTGTCAAAGAAAGAAGTTAGAGGTATTTATATAGTTGTAAAATAAATGAAGTCGCCACCGAGTATTTATTTATGCCACAAAAGGGAAAGGAAAATCATAGAAGAAAAATCTAAATGGGAAATCAAGGTCTTGCGACCGAGAGATTGAGTAAGGGAGTCGATTACGCAAGGGGAAGGTATTAGCACCCCACAAGTCTGTAGTAATCTATGGGATCCACTCTCGTTGTTATAATCAAAGGGTGTATTCAATCTAATGCTTAAGAGTTATAAACTAAGAGGGAATGCATGCAAGGAAAACACGGGGAAAAGAAGGAAATTTTTATAAATTTTCACTCGGCTGAGGCCCGTGACCAGATGCCTACGTATCCATTTTAAGGAATCAGAGCGCCGTAGTTCGGCTTACATATTTTTTTGGTTTATATATTTTAATGAACAATATTAATTTTGCCTTCTGCCGTAACTCGACCTTTGGAGACTTACGCGTTATCACATAAGTGACTTAACATGTCCTTTTGGAAATTTTTTTGAAAGAAAAACCCAAAGGTAAAAGAATTTATGTTGGTTGGTGTTTTTGCTGCAGATAACAACTAGTTAATCTCAAGAGAGAGATATTAGCCATTTATTTACTTATTAATAAAATAAGTCTTTGAGACTTGAATCACACTAAGGCTAAGAATGGAAGAACAATAAGATCGAGAAGAAACCCGCTTATCATTTACCATGCTCAACAAAGGTATGACTCTCATCAGTAATCTTTAAGTGTCTTAAAGTTTGCAAGAAAAAGGAGATTTTATTTTAATGCAAATGAAAAAGGGGAAAGAAAAGTCTAAAGGGAGACTAACCTAAATCTAACCTAATGTTATCATACAATGAGTGATCCTATTTAAGTTAGCATGCCAAAGAAAGTCTAACAAAACTATCTTATGGGGAACATACAATGAGAGCAAAGTCATGATCTCAATTTCTAAATTGAGTGACTCATCGATCAACAAGAAATAAAGGAAAGCGATAAAATCCTATATGGAGCATGCACTGAGAGCGAAGTTTGATCTCAATTTCTAAATTGAGTGACTCATCGATCAACAACCGAGAAAACAAACACGAACATGACACATATAACAAATGAAGTGCGGAATGCCTACTATAGGTCTTTAAACAGCGACTTCGAGCACACGCTTTTTATTTCCTACTTCTCATGATATCTAGAAAGCAATAAAATGCGGAAGAATAAATCGAAAGCAGTATAACACCAAACGAACAATAATATCCGCAAAAAGCCCAACCAAAGCAACGAAACCCATAATACTTCGCGTGAGATGACATCAACAAACAAACAACAAGAGATTGAATGTTCAAAATAGGTGTCGAAGAATCGTCAATGTTAAAATAAATCACAATAAAAAACTTAAGAATATCCGCATATCACACACTAAACCTGCATAAAACTCAAATCTCGATAAGCAGAAGTGAAATACAAATCTCGAATAACAAAGTAATCATTAAACAATAACAAAAATTCTAATAAAAATTCTTGAAGAGAAGTCCTAAAATATTCTAAAATTCAATACTATTTTTTTAAAGATTTTATCATACATATTTTTATTATTAAACTCACACAAAAAAAAAGAAATTAAAACTAAAAGTTTATGAAGTAAAAATATTAGAGAGTCATGGGAGTACAATTCAGGAATGGCTGGTATGCTAGCAAAACAATACTAGGTGCTGAGGCCCATTAATCATTGACATGAAGACAATTTTTTTTTACAAAAATTTCAAGCCACACAAAAATATGACACATTGGGCCAAAGCTGTTTTTTTTTCGGAATTATTCTCAGCTACAAAAAAGCACAACAAGCCCAGATGGAAATTCCCTTCGGTCCAGGAACATTGGGTCTGCATTTGTTAAAAAAAAAGTACAATTCAACGGATATTGTTTACTAGGGTTGGAACAAACTTCTGCTGCATCTTCCTCTCTTTTACAGAACCGCGACGCTCTCTTCTCTCCAACCCTAATCTCGTCCGCCATCTCTTCTTCTCTCAAAATCTCGCTGCAGCCAGCCTCAACCTCCTTCAATTCTTGCTCTGCCTCCGCAAATCATGTCTAAATCGGAGGATTTAAAAACCTACATGCTAAATCATGTCATCCTCATGCTTAATCACACCTTAGAGCCTTGCGGACTCAATTCAGTTACGTTTGACCCTTGCTGTAACACGAAAAACATACAGGAACGTGAAAGAATACAGAAGTTTGGAACTCACCGACCAGAGAAAGGCTGGTGTCTTCTTGACGATGTCAAAGAACAGAAATCCAGAGAATAACTTCTAGGTAAGAATCTTCAGCTTCTCCTCCCGATAATTTTGTTTCTATCTTCTTTGTCTTCTCTTAAGTGCTTATCATTTTTCAATGTTAATTTTGTATCGAGTTCTAGTTGTTTGTTGTTGCTATCACTGATGCATAATGGTGAAGAAGAGGAAGATATGCTGCGAAAATGATTTATGATTGAAGAAGACGGTGAGGTAGTTATGGTGGTGAAGGTGGAAGAAAAAGGTTAGGGTGATATTCAAGCGTAGAGGTTGAAGAAGGAAGAGAGTAGAAGGGACTAAGGGATGAAGATGAAGGGAAGTAACAGGAGATTGAAGAAATTCCCAGCCAGGTTCAAGAATGGGGAAGGTTCAAGAATGAGGATGGAGAGTGCTTCAGAAAAATCCCACAGATTCAGAGGTAAATTTTCTGTTAACTTTTTGTTTTTTGTTATGAATCCATCTCCTCCCTGTTTATTCTGTTACGATTATGTTTATATGGGTTCAAGTGAAAAGCTCCTAGCAGTTAGATTTCTGAGAGTTTGTTATGGAATGGAGGATAGAGATTAGGTGGTTAGAAATAAGTTAGGTTTATGTACTAGGTTGTTAGGCAAATGCAGTTAGAAGTTATTTTCTGTTTTGGTTGTTGTGAGAAAGTTAGTTAGGGAGTTGCTAGAGATTTTTTTTGTTTGAGAATCAGTTAAGGGATAGTTATACAAGTTGGAAATTTTGGTTATTGAGTTAATGGTTTCTAATTTTTTATGAGTTTCAATCTCCTCTACTTAACAATATTTTTCTGTTATTTATGTTATCGGATTACACAAAAAAAAACTGTTGTGAAATTGCCCCCATTTTGATTATGAACTGGTTTTCTTGCAGGGACAGACTTATGACAGAATCCTCTGTTCTTATATTTGATGCAGAGCCGGAGAGAAGAATGAAGCGAAAGCTCTGTATATTTACTGATATTGCAAAAATGTAACAAAATGAAGGGGAACAAATTTATACAGAGACTGGAGTTTTCTATTCTGATGCTAAACTGATTTTCATTTGAAGTTTCTTTTGGGCTATTATTTCTTGAATTTTTCGAAAAAATTCCATATTGATGAAGGTCTGCATATGCCCAGTTTTGGTTTTGGACTAATGATGTGCATTGAATGAACAGGAAATTCCATTGAAAGCAATTGAGCCTTCACAAAAGACAAACCCTGCAAAACACAAGTCTGCAGAGGAACAACAAGGCATCTACCGGGGGATACAACATTTGGATCTTCAGAGGATTTCAGTGGACCAACATAGTGGATCAATATCAATGGGAAATTTCATCTTTGGAATCCCTCATATTATAAGCGTCTTCCATGCCAACCCGCCAGGCTCACAAAGTCACAGGAAATTTCACTTCTGCTCCAGGCTTTAGAGGGAGGCGAGATTTTAATGTTTCAGAAGAATATGAAATTACTGAATCTTGATTTTTCCCTAATAGTAATATATGTGCTTGCTCAATAGGAATTGTTTCCGCATTAGCCAGACTTATCCACACGTCACGAATTTCTCTTTCATACAAAATGATGGCCCCATTACCTCCAACAACATGTGATATCAACAATGGAAATGGAGGTACTACATATATATTTGGAACAAATACATTCTTCAACTTTGGAGATCCACAACATCGGAAAGGGTCAGAAAGAACGAGACCTTGTGCAGCCCCAAGAAGCAGATTATCAACCTCTCTAAATAGGTGTTCAGTTATAACACCAAAATAATGAACAATGCATCCAGGAATTGTAACTGGCCCCACTGATGTTGGAATGCCAAATAAGGTAATCACTTTTGAAGAATTTGGTAGAAGACATATGCTCACAGGAAAAGCATCAAAATTTCATGAATGCACAGACATATAGATGCTATCGACTCTTAAATCAAAGCCACATGGTTTTTCCAATTCCACTAAAACTTGGATCGGCTCTCCAACAATCATAACAAGCTCTTGCTTCTTCATATTATTTGTATCTCCTTTACTGAACGGTGTGTATATGAAAGGGCCCGAAGGAGAAGAACCTACCCACCAGTCTTCTCTAGCAGGATTACATCTTACAATGTCCATTTGACTTGAGTGGAAAGAAAAGGAATGCACCCTTATAAAAGGTAAAGTGGGATCAGCACAACGAGTTCCAGGTGGTAGCCTCTCAGAAAAATTTTAAAGTGCATTAGAAAGGCCATGTTGCTCTGCGAGAATTACTAGAGGATAGTAGGACCTAAGTAGTCGTGCCGATGAAATATCTCATAATGCATCTTACCATAGTCAGATGTTATTTTTTTTTTTAGTATGTTAGATAATGAACATAAACACATACAACAAATATAATATCAGGATGAGATGTAGTAAGATAAAGGGGGAAAACTAATCAAATATCAGTACATGCTTTCTTTAATTGGCTTTTCTCCCTCATATTTATCCAAGTTTCAAGTAGTACCCATCAAAGTGGAGATAACTTTGTCTTTTTCCATGCTAGATATTTTTGTATCCTTGAGGACAAAACTTAGAATGATGAATCATTTGTTGAATAAATAGCATCCATGCTTAGTCACAATCATAGAAGAAACCCTAAATCAATGAACCTTGAGTTCATATAGATGGAGAAGATTTGCGATGGTGAGAGGAACAAAACCTAGCTCAATGACATTCTTAGAGAATATATGATAAAGTTTCAAGTACACAAGTTAAATCTTAAAGCGCATGTTCCTCGAAGAAAACTATGATAAAGAAAAATTTGTATCTCGAGGAACCCTGCTAGCGAAGACGTTTATGCTGCTTGAGATCTGAAACCCTAATTTCATACCGAGGATGATAAGAGCTCCCGTTGAATCAGCTTTGAGTAAGGATATATCAACCTTAATTCATAGGGGAAAAACCTTAATGCCCAGAGTTCTTTGTTGATTTCGTAACCATGGAAGCAATGATATGCATGAGATGTATATGATATGATGAGGGATCTTAGGGGGGGAAATTGGGGTACAACAGCTGCCCTTATTTAAGTGCCTTCTATCCGGAGATACGAAGGATAAAATATTCGTCTCTTCGTGATTGAAGGTACTTAAATATAAAAAAGCCCTATTTTTCGCCCTAAGATGCTATGCGATGCTCATGATTACAAATGTAAAATATAAACTTCATGCAGACGAATAAGACACACTGGAGAAATGAAAATAAAATCAATAGACTTAACAAAGAGAAGTCGACCAGGAAAATAAATCTCTGGCGGACAACACGACTCTGGGGATAGAAATTTGAATCCATTGGAGACAAATCGGCTCTGTTGGGGAAATTGAAGACTCAACTTTACTGGGGTAAAGTCTACAAAAGGAACCAAATAACATCAACTCAAAAAAATAAGGATAACAATGATTGACCTATAACTATGAACTATCCACTCATAGAGGAGATAGCAAAAAGAGAGTAACATCAGCACAGGGGATCGACAATTGTTAAACAGAAGGGCACGAATAGAAACTGTAAAGATAATACCGGCTCAGAGATGAAGATAAAAACCAACGCCTAGACTAGTAAGTGAATGATTGGTATCAGTACTTATTCCTGATAATCAAAGATTTGGCATTAACACTTATGGCTGGAAACAACTCAACTCAATCAGAGTAAGGTCCAATGGGGAGGAAGAGATAAATATTTCCTAAGAATAGTAATGAATTATCCACTAAAGAATGAAGGTAAAAAAAACAGGACAATATTTACTTTTATTGAAGTTAAAGAAATAGAAGATACACCGACGTTTACTGAAGGTGAACTATCGATTTTCACTGAAGGTGGAGATTAAAGAATAACATCAGCTTTTACTGAAGGTGAACTACCGACTTTTACTGAAGGTAGAGATTAAAGAATAACACCAGCTTTTACTGAAGGTGAACTACCGACTTTTACAAAAGGTAGGGAGAAAAGAGAATGCACCAGCTTTTACTGAAGGTGAAGTCTCAAAGAACAATAACGAGTTTCCCAAAATTTTGGCGTTCTACCTAAACGGGTAAAATACAAGCTATCTCAAATAAAGAGACTACGACTTACAATGCTTTCACAAAAAACTTATCTTGCGAAACTCCCTCGAAGAGATACCATTTGATGGAGAATTAGATAAACTTCCCCTCGATCCTGACCATAAGCCACGAACTGGTCTCAGTTTCTTCTTTAACCAAGATGTTTCACTTGGAAAGGGTAAAAATATAAGCTATCTCAAATAAAGAGACAACCACTTGCAATGATTTCACAACAAACTTCTCTTGCGAAACTTCCTTGAAGAGATACCATTTGATGGAGAATCAGATAAACTTTCGCTCGATCTTGAATATAAGCCACAAACTGGTCTCAGTTTCTTCTTTAACTAAGATGTTTCACCTGGAAAGGGTAATAAAATGCTGTAAGAATCTTTCAATGAACTGTCTTTTTCATTGAAGGGCAACCAATCTCAACAATGAGCTGTCTCCCATAATGACGAGACTACCATTCATCAGAATATAAATCTCAACAACGAACTATCTCCCATAATGATGAGACTACCATTCATTATAGTAAAAACTTAAACAACGAACTATCTCCCATAATGACGAGACTACCATTCATTGAAAAAAATATCTCAACAAAAAACTATCTCCCATAATGAAGAGACTACCATTCATTGGAGTAAAACATCTTCTCTGGCATTAACAGACTTACTGGGAAGAGCAGGTTTCTCAAATAAAGAGACCTGCCGCTTACTGTTTAAGAAGGAATTATAATAAGACTGGCGAGAAATAAATCTTAATTTCCTGGGGAAATACTAATACATTTCTATTGAGGAGAAAAAAGTATTCTCACGCAAAATAAATGCACCTTCTCAAACCAAAGTTCAGAGCCTGCAGAAACCAGAATAGTAATATTGTCGGGGACCACAGATTCAAACCAGAAATAAACTGGAATGAAACAAACAACCAAACTAGCACCTAATTAGAAATAAACTCAAAAGGGATCACATTCTATCCAGATAATGAACTGAATAGGAAGGCTAAAGAAAAATTCTTCCACGAGGGATAACTCAGTGGGAAATTGAAAGGACGTACATTTTCTCTTTAAAGTTGACGACTCTATTGGAGAGAGAGAGAGTAACATAACTTTGCAAAGAGGATAATATGCTGACAAAACACCAATGAATGTAAATGAGTAATGAATTTTTAATTCATCTATGCATGATGTGTATGAATGTATAAATGTTTATCGTATATGCTGAAAAAATAACCATAATGCATTGGGGATAACTAGACAAAGCTAAATTGGGTGAAGGCAACACTCAGCCAAGTCACGTCCAGGATGAAGGTTCCATAAGAGAATAAGCATCTATTGAGGAAACAACATCCTATTTCACGGTTTAACTTCATTGGGAAGAGCATGGCTTGAAAACAGTCAAAGCATCACATGACTAGCAACAAATAAAGTTGCGGGGATACCATAAACTCCTCTAAGTTTCACCGGGGAATATCATACAGACTTCGACTGTGGAAGACAATGCCTCATCGTTTGGACTTCACCTGGAGCTTCCAAAACTAACTTCACTAGGGAAGATGAAAACCACATCGTCAAGACTTCAACTAGGTATGTCAATGCAAACCTCACTAGGAAAGATGAAAAACCACATCGTTGAGACTTCAACTGGGGGTCGTTATGCTATCTTCATTAGGGAAAAATAAACCACACACACGAAAGAGAGCCTAAATACAGTCTTCAATATCAAGCATAATAATTGTGCAAACTTCTCTAGTGAGAAATCATGAAACTTCATAGGATAACAACTTTAGAGGGAAGCATAATCCTCGACTCATCTGGAGAATTAAGAAGTTAATCATCACAACAAGGGCCAACTTATGTGGATTTTAAATCAAACTCAGCACACAACGAGAGAAAAATCAAGGAGTTGATCTATCTCAATACTCCTCAGAAGGTATAATGCCCTTGTCTGGTTGCTTAGAGGCATACAACAACAATAATGTTATAACTGGAGGGCATAATATCCTACAAGAGATCCTATATCACTTCTCAACACAAAGGGAGAAAGAGTCGAACAACTAAGCACATGCTTTGTAACTTTGAAACCTCTGCTTGATCAACTTTCGATCATGGAAAGAAATTACACTCAATCGAAGAAGTCTGAATCAAGACTTAACTGGGGAAAATGGGATTACAAACCCAAACGTCTCACCACATATCAACTAGTATGAAATTCATCTATCTTATGGAAAAAAGCACTATCATAAGTGGAATACGCACATATCAGCAAGCACAACCAGGGAAGTCTTTCTTGTGCAACTTTTCAAAAATTAGGAGTTCATCCATCCTTGGAATCACCTCTTTTGTTCCACTCGAATCAAAACATCAGAAGAAAAAGGTAATTTGTAAATACTTTTCAATTTTTTTTATTATTAAGTCTTTTTTCTTTGAAAATTACTATCAATAATAAATGAAATCTTTGCAAACAGAATAAAGTAAGAACTACAAAGAATTGGATAAAAGCTCAAACTTTATTCATAGAATGGTAGTCTGTGAACGGTGAGACTCCATGGATGATTAAAAAGTTTGGAAAATGGTAAATATATGGAAAAGATGCATTGAAATACAATGACCATTATTCTCCCTAACAACTTCAAGCTCTTGAGCAAAGACTCAGTTGAAGTATGATGAGAATCTGAGAAGATTGTTGCTTTAATTATCAAGTCTTGTCTGATGTAGTTACTTGCCAAGAAATCCCTAAATTTTTCCTAGGCCGCCCTTGCGTGTTTTCAACCGACCGGGAAAATTTATTCTGTTTGTGTCTCTAATTTTTGCCTAGACCGCCCTTTCAGGTTTTCAGCCTACCGAGACACTCATTTTTGCCTAAGTCGCCCTTTCGAGTTTTCGACTTAGCAAGTTGTTCTTTTATTTCTTTAGGCAAAGTATTTCTTGAATGCATCAGCATTCAAAGGACGTGGGAACTCCTCTTCATCCATAGTTTCAAGAATCAATGCACCTCCAGAGAAGGCTTTCTTGACAACATATGAGCCTTCATAATTGAGAGTCCACTTGCCCCT